GAACTAGACTCGATAGAAAGACTCGCTTGCACAAACGTGGCGAATTGTATATTATGTTTGCTCTCTGATCTCTGCAAATGTTTCCAATTGAATAATTCGTAAACAAACAAAATGATCGAACTTACTTAGAAGAGAGATCATGCAGATATTTTAACATTTGAGTAACATTGTGGTCATTCGAATCAATCACCACCATTTGAGGTAGTTTGAGGGCTTATAGACAGTAACGGTCAATTGTCGCTCTCTAGTAGTGTTTCTAGTGCGAGACTTCAAAGTAAATGTGAATGTATATCACGAAAAAGTTATGGAAAATGCGTTAGTGAAGCCGTGAAAAAATATTTCAATAAGATGGAAAGTTATTTTTAACAAAATTTTTCGCTACTACACAAACCGAGTGCCAACGAACAATGGTAGAGGGATAATGTCACACACTTCAATTTGACGGATTAGTGTCATTCACGTAGACCATATATTAACACAGTCCAGTTGTTGGTATAATTTATATAGCTACTTGAGTTCAGCTCAAAAAAAAAGATCAAAGTATAGATGTAATCAAAAAAACACTATTGTATCATTAGATAAAAATTTTGCAGATTCACATTCGTATATTTTGTAATTCGTTCGAGTAGCTTTGGCGGACTAGAACTTGAGCAGTAGTTCACGTTAAAGGCGGCTTTATCAAAAATTCCTAAAATTTAATGATTTTCAAAGTTGTTTATTTAAAAAAAAAACAAAAAAATTTTTATTTAAAATAAAGTACCAGAGCGTTCTGAGATTTTGAAGTTCAGTTGGGTCACCTGTATATCCAGTATTCCTGACAAATATTTGTATAGGAAACTACTAAAAACTTTAGAAATTAATGTTGCTTATTTAATTGAAGTTTACTCTTGATATGCTTAATAAGGCTGACACGCGGCATTCAGAAAGATTCATTGATCCTGAACACAACAAAGTTGACGCTTAACCTTAGCATAAACAATATTAAAATCAGCACTGAACTTCTTACAGGACTCTGTAGACTTGATTATCACATGAAGAATATAGGTGCGGTAGAAAGTGATTCCTGTCGAATTCATCATGAGGAGAAGGAAACTTCAGAACATATTCTATGCAACGGCGAGAATAGTCCAGCGGCGACTATCTTGAAAGCGGGATCTTAGTCCCAAATCAAATGTGTAAAATTAAGCACACACCAATTACTAGATTTATAAATAGTCTAGAAATGTTCTAATTGAGCACATAATAGATCTTTTAGGTTGTGGTGCATTCATAGTCTATTATTTAATAAGTCCGGAGACCTTTTTACGACATTGACATACGACATAAAGTATATAATATTTAATAAAATAAAATTTCGGATAATGCTTGAATTCTATTGAAAAATCGAACAAAAATTTTTGATCTTCCAACATTAGAAATAAAGATTAGAGAAACTAGAATTTTTGTTATAAGAAGTATCAGAACAATTATAAACTTAATTAACAGCTTTAATTTCACCCCGATCTAAATAATATTAAACATTGAACATGATATATCCAATTTTCACTAAATGTATTTATAAACAATAAAGAAAACACAGATTTGTTAAGTTATATGGCTGCCGTAAGATATAATATACCAATTTCAGTGATTTGTCAAGAACCAACATCAATAATTCTATGCTCAAAACATAATTTATTTAACTTGAAAATTATGAGTCCAATTTTATGATAGCAGCCCAACATTCATGATTAGACTTAGTCTCGTTTATCTGGTCAAAAATAGATACTTTGTGGGGCTGTACTTTGTGGGGCTTGAAAATAAGTATAAAACTATGTGAAAAATTTAATATACCCTTTTATTGTACAATACAGTAACAACTTATAGCTATTTCAGTCGGACAGCTCTGTTAGGTCGATAAGAAAAAGGGTCTCGAAGATTTTAGTTTTTCTCCTTGCCAAAGATGAACATAGACACATGAAGTGAAGCACAAAAACCTTCTCATTCGCAGAGCCACAACCTCTACAATAGTCGTAGACCCAGATTCATGTTGAGTTTCATATTGGGTTTCATATTGGATTTTATATTACATATTTTGAAAAATAAACCAGGGAAGGAGATATACCGTATCTTAAAATTGTCATACCACTTTTTGAATTCTTAATTTCATGTCTTTATATTTAAATACCTTTTTCTCGATTTCCTTCGCCATTTTAAGATGTTTTTCAAATGTTTCCATATCGATTTCCGTTCCAATTTTATAAGCATCGAAGAGTTCTGTAGATAAACGATTTTATTACTGTTTATATAAAAGAAATTAAATAATCTAAATTTCGTACCTAAAGCACTTGGCGATATCAAATCATTAGAATTTTTTCCTCCTCGCTCCTTCACAGAATTCTTTAAGTATTGTGCCCACGACGAGAGTTTCGCATAGCGACTATTACTCAATATAAGCTCTTTGTCACTGATAAGTTGTTGATATTGATGAAGTTCAGCTTCTTCACGTTTTCTATTGGAACTATTTTCCAACTTAGAATTAGTGCTACTGCGCTTAGTATGCAAAAATCGATTTGTAAAGCTTGGTTTCGTATGATTACGGGTGGCCTTAAGTGGTGTGCCCTTTGAATTCTTTTCATTACTATTCTGACTTTTGCGTGATGGACGTACATTCTGCTGACATCGCTTGTATTCGATCACTACTGGCGGCAGCTGACGTTCGTCATAGGAAGATTTTTGGTATATACGTTTATCAGCATTGCTGCTACGGTTGCTATCATCTGCTACACTTTCAGTATTTTGTACAGTATCTTCTGTATTCGCCCTTTGGTCTGATGATGTGGTAAACCAATCTACAGCATTGCTATCATCTTCAATATAACTGTTCGGAGATTTTATTATGGCTGATATGGAATTTTCCCTAGTAGTATTTATTTGAAAATCATCATCACGTATATTTTCGTCTTCTTCTTCTTTTAATTGATTGTACGCTAATAAAAATTTATTTGAATCAATTTCATCGTTAGCAATTGATAATGAGGCATCGGCAAGCTACAATAGAAGGAAAAAAACTTTATTAAAAAAACATGCATTAAATTGTGATCTTTAAATTGTACTTTATCGGTGGAATCTACAGCTGAACCCATGCATTCATCATTGACTTCAATATAACCATCGACTAACCGCCTATAACCACTGACTAGTAGCCCAAACTCACGTTCAACCTCTTGTCCGAAATCGCCGATTATATCAACAGGTGTTATGCCAAGAGAAATTTCATCTCGCGTTATATCGTTCGGACGAATAGGGACGTGAGATTCCATATTTGCAACAAAACCACATTTCATTGAAATGATTTGTTTCTGTTCGCGATTGAAATCATATTCTGATTTTTTTGGTGTGACAGTTGTTGCGCCGATCTTATTACTTCGTGCAAACTGTGGACTAACACCATTTAATAAATCCGGTCGGTTTTCTTTCTTCGTTGGGAACTCTGCGCTTAGATTATAATTCTTTTGTAAAATATCTGGTGTAATACAGTGTACATTATATGAACTTGGTCTTAGACTCTGATCGTAGTCGTGCTCCCCCTGTTGTTGCTTGTCTCCTTGTAACGTATTTGTTAGAAGTGTTATAGGCTTAAAGTTCTTCTCATTAGGTGGTTCAAAAAGACTTAATGTAGTTTCTAGATTATTAGGCAAGTCATCTATGTGATTTTCGCTTACATTTGTATTGTGATTATTATCACCAAATTTATTTTTAGCTGTTTCATTGTATTCGATTTTATCTGTTTCCTTTGCGATTGGTTGCTCAACTTTAGCTATCATATCATCATTATTGTTGTTATTATTATTTTCCGGTAGGACGTCATCATCAAAACTATCGGCACTCAATTCCATTTCGTAGTCCGATATATCACTATCATAGGAATCAAATGGTGTGCTACTAATAAAGTGTTCAGATAAAGTGTGTGCTAAGTGCTGAAAACCCGGATAATTAGGATTAATAATGCCGCGTGGAAAATATGAACGTTTCTTTGGTGTGCGTAAAGATATACTTGACGACGAGGGAGAAGTTAAGTATTCATCTAGAAAGGAAAGCAGACTTGAAATTATTCACATATAATTTGATAAATATTATTTTTTTTAATTAGATTGAGTGAACTAATTCATGTTCATCTCATTTAAGAAATATGATATAGTAAGATAATATTTATGACGTTACCTAGCTTCAAATATTTAAAAATCGATAACTTGTGTCTTAAGTTTTGGTAATTCTATTATTGATCAAATTTGTCAAGTTATTAAAGTATATTTAAAAGTCTATAAATATATCAATAAAAAAAAATACTATATTTTAAATTGATTATATATTATTATTAATACATATATATATATATATATATATATATTCTTATATATTATTGTTGCATACAAGATTATTCTACGTTTCGAGAAACGATGGATTGATGGATTCATTTTCCATATTTATTGAGATGAAATGTTTCCAAAGGATTCCAAAAAAATTTTAGTCAGTAAAATTTCTTATCTCAAAAACGATTTATTTAACCCATTTTAGCCTATTAGATATTAAGAAAGTGTAGACACGTAAACTATTCTAGCGCGAAAGATATCACCATAAATTTGTTTTTACAGTAAAGCGGAAAGATGAACCTACAACATAAAAATAGAACAACATTATTTTTACCTGGTTAAATATAGTTTTTCACAGCTGGAATTATGATTTTTTTTTGTCGGAAACTGCTTGGGAAACATGCTGCCGAATATTGAGAAATAAGAAAAACCGAGAACCCCTCACTATTATTAGGCAGGTTAATGTGACCCTTTATGCAATAGAGATGCAAAATATGTGATATTGATAGAAAAATTTTCACACTGACTCTTGTCGGGTATTAACATACTCGACAATATAAAATCATGTTGAATAGTTATGTCTATATTTTCAGATATAACCCAATTATCATCTATTCATTTGCAAGTGCGTAAAGGTGTCATTGTATAATATATTTAACATTCAAGAAGAAGAATTTGTTATTTTTAATCACATATCATTTTTATATATTATATTTATTTTACTTTTTTAATATTTATATTAATATTTTATATTATTATTATATTATTTATATTTATTTTTACATATTTATCATTTATACATATTAATAATTCTTATAATTAAATATATATATAATATATACATGTATTATTATACTATTATGTATATATACATCATATGAATGAAAGATTGTAGACACAGTGATTTATATTTATTTATATATATTTATAATAATATTTATATATATTAATAATTCTTATAATTGAATATATATATAATATATGCATATATGTATTTTTATACTATTATGTATATATATATAATATGAATGAAAGATTGTAGACATAGTGATTTTCTTTATCGCACTTGGAAGTTTATACACAAAATTGTTATAAAATACACTATATACAAATATTTTATAATACTACTTATTATTATATTATATTATATAAATTATTAATAATTTATTTAATATTATAGATTATATAAATAATCTCTATTCTACAACTTTTTGCAATAATTTAATATGGCAATATAAAAAATCTTATATATATACTACATCTGCATGCAAACTTATAAGGGGCACACCTAAAATAATTGCAAAAGTGGTAACCAGAATAGCCTTTCCTTAACCTAAATGGCTATGACACATAATAATATATTCTCCCAATATCAAGACGAACAAGTGTAGACCTGTTTTCGTCAGTCAATGTGAACGATTGAATCATAGGATATATGGCAAGAAAGGGTGACTAGCATGAGTGACTAGAATGGGTAAATAAAATGGGTGACTAAAATAGGTGTCTAGAATGATGGTTAATAGCTGAGAACTTTATCAAAATTGTTAAGGTTTTTCTTTAAGAATTATAAATTACTGTTTGTTTTCTTTGAAAAAGTGTATCATTTTCAATACAACCTTGTGACGAGTTTTAGAATCTCGTCACAAACAAACAACAAGAAAATAAAATAAACAAAAAAAAAAAAAAACAACAATAGAATTAAGGTATTTTTAGTTAAATATAATTTGTTTATTATTAGTTAAGTTACACATAAAATAAAATATTAGTATAAGGTAGTAATAAAAATTAAGGTATGAATAAGTTTAAAATTAAGGTATTATTAAATTAGTATATAAAATCAGTATCATTAAGTTAATATTAATTTAATAAAAATTAAAAGCAATTCCTTTTAAAATATAAATTAAGTAATAACACACCTTTTTGTTTGAGGGTAACTATTTTGTAAAATTTTAACAAATGTGCAGCAACAGTAAGCATACCAGACGCAGACACTTAGAATGGACAATAACAAAGCTGTACAAAGTGCACTCAACAATTAGAAGTCCCGTTTCCAAAATCCGTATAAAAGGAGAAGCAAAGTAAAACACAGGGACTTGGCCACAGCATTTCGAGCAGTGCACATCACCAGAGAGACTTGGCCACAGCACTTCGAACAGTGCACATCACCAGAGACTCTATGGCAGGCCACGAAGCAGAACACTTGACAGAGCCAGAGCAAGTGTATAAACAGGTAATTAAAAATATTTAAATAACATTTTCCTAGTCCATCAGTGCCCTATCGGTAACACTGTTCCTTAGCAACGCAGCCTTGGGTAGCGTTGGTTCCAAGCTCATCAGTGTAGCCCAATCGGTAACACTGTTCCTAAGCAACGCAGCCTTGTCGGTAGCGTTGGTTCCAAGCTCATCAGTGTAGCCCTATCGGTAACACTGCTCCTAAGCAACGCAGCCTTGTCGGTAGCGTTGGTTCCAAGCTCATCAGTGTAGCCCTATCGGTAACACTGCTCCTAAGCAACGCAGCCTTGTCGGTAGCGTTGGTTCCAAGCTCATCAGTGTAGCCCTATCGGTAACACTGCTCCTAAGCAACGCAGCCTTGTCGGTAGCGTTGGTTCCAAGCTCATCAGTGTAGCCCTATCGGTAACACTGTTCCTAAGCAACACAGCCTTGTCGGTAGTGTTGGTTCCCAAGCCATCAGTGTAGCCCAATCGGTAACACTGTTCCTTAGCAACGCAGCCTTGTCGGTAGCGTTGGTTCCAGGTTCATCAGTGTAGCCCTATCGGTAACACTGTTCCTTAGCAACGCAGCCTTGTCGGTAGCGTTGGTTCCAAGTTCATCAGTGTAGCCCTATCGGTAACACTGTTCCTTAGCAACGCAGCCTTGTCGGTAGCGTTGGTTCCAAGTTCACCAGTGTAGCCCTATCGGTAACACTGTTCCTAAGCAACGCAGCCTTGTCGGTAGCGTTGGTTCCAAGTTCATCAGTGTAGCCCTATCGGTAACACTGTTCCTAAGCAACGCAGCCTTGTCGGTAGCGTTGGTTCCAAGTTCATCAGTGTAGCCCAGTCGGTAACACTGACTCTTTAACAACGCAGCCTCGTCGGTAGTGTTGGTTCCAAATCCACCATTAGTTAGAATTTTTTTATTGTTTCAGGAATTATAATAATTCTTAATATTTATAATATATATTGTTAGCAAATAAGCTATAAATATTGTAAAATAAATTTCGGAAAAGATAAATAAAGAAATTAAAACAATTAACTGGCTTTAAAATTATTATTCGAACGATTCAGGGTTATAAGAAATATTCTTGTAACGACTCTGGGATCCGGCGAGCAAAACCTCGGCTGGTAAAAAGGTTCTTTACAAGTGGCGCCCGAGCAGGGACCCTGAATACAACGTAGGAAACTTCGTAATATAATAATGAGTAAGGAGGATCCGATTTTAGCACGAACCTGGTTGGTCACATCACAGAACTCTTAACTCGAATGAAACGAATTTAAGAACTCTGGAAGGAAAAAAAATATATCAACGTATATCACACGTGGAATACAAAGGGGCAGATATGAGTCCTACAATGCGCTCATCCATTCAAACAATAGAACATGTGGAAAAATGGTCCTTCAGATATGACGGTGGTGAGGATCCATTGAGTTTCATCGAACACATAGAAGAACTGGCAGACAAGTATAGCATCGATGTAAACTTAATTCCACGCACAATGCCCTTACTTCTCGAAAATAATGCACTAATATGGTATCGCAACAACAATTGTCGTTGGCAGTACTGGACACATTTCAAGGTTGATTTTCTAAAGTTTTTTATCCCGTCTAGATTCTTTAAGCAAAAACAAGAACTACTGCAATCCATAGCCGTCGAAGAACAACAGCAGCAAGTTAATCAACAACGACAGCCACAACAGCAGACTAATCAACAGCAACAGCAGCAAGTTAATCGACAACAGCAGCAGCAGCAACTACAAGATACGCTAGAACACGGCGTACAACAACAAGATCCAAGACCTACCAAAGTGAAAATACAGCGAGATCCAAGTCCTATCAGAGAAAAAATAAAGCAAGATCCGAGACCTACCAAAGTGAAAATACAACAAGATCCGAAATCTACTAGAGCACCAAAGTTACAACAATACCGAGATCCAAGTCCTATCAATACAACACCTAGCCGAGATTCACAGCAACCACAAGACACGCTAGAACACATCGTACAACAACAAGATCCGAGACCTATCGAAGTGAAAATACAGCAAGACCCGAGACCTAACAAAGGGAAAACACAGCAAGATCCGAGACCTATCAAAGTAAAAATACAAGATCCGAAATCTACTAAAGCACCGAAGTTACAACAATACCGAGATCCAAGTCCTATCAATACAACACCTAGCCGAGATTCACAGCAACCACAAGACACGCTAGAACACATCGTACAACAACAAGATCCGAGACCTATCGAAGTGAAAATACAGCAAGACCCGAGACCTAACAAAGGGAAAACACAGCAAGATCCGAGACCTATCAAAGTACAAAAGTTACAACAACTACAAGGTACACAAAAGCAAATAGTACAACCGCAAATAAAATTTATTGAAACACAACAAGGCCAACAGGAACAATTACCATACCAAATTAAGGAACGTTGTCTCGAAACAGATGACAAAGTCAGCACAAAAAACCAGCAACGGCAAACGAAAATTTGTTGTACAACCCAACCGGAGAACGATCAGATTGTCACCACGGCCCAAGACGAATTTTATAAAATATTCAAAAGTCCGAAGAAACGTTACAGAAGCCAAGCACTATAATTTACGACCCAGAGCATGGAAACCACAGATTGGCGATATGGTTTTAGTCAAAACACATCCGCTATCCAACGCTCAGGCTCATTTTGCTGCAAAACTAGCCCCAGAACCACCGCACGCAGAACTTTGGGAACGGATACAGAGGGACGCTCAAAAGTTAAAACGGGGCCGTCGCCATGTTTTTTATGTGCAAAATCAG